CTGGAGTGGGATCCACTCTGTGCCGGTGTCTGGGATCGGCCTGGCAGGCACGAGTAGGCTCCCAGCCCTGGATCCCGGTGATCCGCTCAGAGCGGGATAAACTTGGGATGTGGATTCATAAGGTGTGGATCTATACCGGGATGTGGGATTTGGGTGCTGCCACCTTAGAGCTGCGTTGCCAGGAGAGTGTCAGGTCGTCTCCTGGCTCTGGAGATCCCTGCTGGATCCCTGCTGATGCTCAGCCAGTGGGTGATGGTGCTGGCAGCAGCATCACAGGGGGATCTGGAGAGTGCTAAGGATCTCCTGGCTGGATCCCACTGCGACCTGGTGGGATCCACTCGGGATTTACCCCAGGGAGACCCACGGAGTGGCTGGCAGTCCCACCACAGCCCTGCCTGGAGGCGCTGCTCCAGGTCCCCAAACCCACCTCCCCATCCCACCGAGGTCCCGGGGATCCCTGCGGAATCCTCTGCTCGGGGATCCCCGCTGCCCATTGCGTCTCTCCCGCAGGCTCCGCTGGGATCCGAGGGCTGGCTGGGGGAGCCGCCGTCGCGCCAGGACCCGGCCAGCCAGGAGGCCATGCTGCGGGTGCTGGACGCGGGGCTGGAGCGCTGCCTGGCGCTGCACTCGGCCGTGCAGTGCATCCCCGTGCCCCGGCACAGGTAGGGACACCGGCACGGCCACCACCCTCCCACCAGCACCGGCCTCACTGCCGGGTTTTTTTCTGCAGGAGGACTTTGGCCGCTGTTGGCCACGCCGGGATCCCCGGCGGTGAGCGGCTGTCCCGCTGTGGCAGCTCTGGGGACTCCCAGCTGGGAGCATCACCAGGTTATCCGTTTGCAAAACGGTTTTGGGTGCTCTTGACCTCTCGTTTTTTTTTTTTAATCTAAAATTTTATAGGTTTTTTTCTACCTCAAGGAACTGTTTGGCCTTAGGCAATCCATCCCTGTGTCCCTGGGCAGGATGCAGGTGCCAGTACCCTCCAGCACGGTGCTGCCCACGGGCATGGAGGGTGACCCTGGCGTGGCACAAGCAGTGGCATTTTGGCAGCCTGCCTGCACCTCTGCCTGCACTGCTGCTTGTGCCATGCCCAGGGGAATTGCAGCCAGCTGCTGGGATGATCCCTGGAGGGATCAGCAGCATCTCAGGGTGTGGGACACCTGTGGGTGCCTTTCCACCTGGTAATGCCACCAGCATGGTGGGGCTGCTGTGACCTTGTGCCACCCCTGTACCCCCACACAAACCACCCTGGGGTGGGTGCAGGCCACCGTGGGTGGGAGGTCCTGGCACCTCACTGGGGGAGGGAAAGTGATAGGGTATCCCAGGGGGCTCATCCATCCTGACACAGCCCCCTCTGCTCTCTCTGGCAGGAAGCTCTCGGGCAAGGCGGGCATTGATGAGGTGATGGCAGCCGCAGTGCTCACCAGCCTCTCCACCAGCCCGCTGGTGCTCGGGCACCCACCAGCCACTCATGCCCCAGGTGAGAGCATTTCCCTGTCCCCGCCATCCCTGGACGTGTCCCACGGCAGGACCTGACCTTCCTCTTCTTCCTCCTCACCAGAGCCTGGCAGTGAGGTCTGGAAGGAGGCTCCTGCCATGTCCTCCAGCTGCAGCAGCAGCAGCAACACCAGCGGGGACTGGAGCTGGGACCCCTCCAGTGACCGATCCACCCCCTCCACCCCGTCACCCCCCCTCTCCAGCCACGTCCCCAGCACCTTCCTGCCCGGCCCACTGCCGGATGAGGGCCCCGATGAGCCCGACGGCACCCACTTCGTCTTTGGAGAGCCCACCCCACGGAAGAGGAAGGTGGGATGAAGCTGGGGATGGTGATGGGGGTGAAGCTGGGTTTTGGGAATAGAAAGGATAGGGATGAAGACGAGGGTGAGGTTAAGGGTGGGGATGACAGTTGGGATGAGGTTGGGTATGTGAATGAGTTTGGGGATGGGGATAGTGAGGATGGAGATGAGGAGGATCAGGGTTTGGGGTGGGAATTAAGAGGATGAGGTTGGAGATGGGGATGACGGTTGAGATTAATTTGGGGGTGTGGGTGATGACAGAGGTAGTGTTGGGGATGACAATGAGGATGATATTTGGGAAGACAATGGGGCTGGGGATGAGGTTGGGGATGGAGCTGCCAGCCTGACACCTCTCTCCTGCAGAACTCCACCAAGGTGATGTTCAAGTGCTTGTGGAAGAGCTGCGGCAAAGTCCTCAGCAGCTCCTCAGGGATGCAGAAGCACATCCGAACCATGCACCTTGGGTAAGCACATGGGCTACCCCTGGACACCCCCAGACGCCCTGATATCCCTTCCAGGGTCCTGTGGTGCTGGGGGGACAATGTCCCAGCCAGCCTCTGCTCTCCCTGCAGCCGGAAAGCCGACCTGGAGCAGAGCGATGGCGAGGAGGATTTCTACTACACGGAGCTGGACGTGGACGTGGACGCGCTGACTGACGGGCTCTCCAGCCTCACTCCGGTCTCTCCCACCTCCTCGGTGCCTCCCGCCTTTCCCGGCCCCGAGGCTCCTCCACCACCAGTGCTGCCCATCCTCGACCTGGCCCTGGCCTCCCCCTGCAGCCCCCCGGCCCCCCCTGGCCGCTGCCACGTCCACA